TACTGAAAATTAAACCCGAGCCACACTCGGGAATACCGCCATGGAGGTTAGTGGGTGTATTTAAACATTATTTTGGGCTATACTCGTCTTATACGACGAGTATAGCCCAAAACCTATGTTTTAACAGAAAAATTAGGGGGTCGTCTTATACGCCCAGTCACCTTATACGCCCAGTCGCCTTATACGCCGGCAAATACAATAACCTCTAGCCCTAAATTTGGTGACCATACACTGTGCCAATTTCGATTGGTTCTTGATGAACCGGATGAATTTCGCACAGTGGGTGGCCAGCTTTACCCTCAGCCTAACCCCAATGTTGGACTTGATGGACTAATGTCTTTATTCAACCTCAAATACTATGTAACTATGTAAAGGCTAGAAATAATCTTGTTACCCACAATAGGTACAATGAAAATTGTTCACATATTGGTGTCAATATGAAATGCTCCTAAACTTTTCTGTGCAAATATAGACAAACGGCAGATATGACAATCACTGACAATCAAAACCGTTATATGTACTGAAATGTCTGTACTGAAAACCAATCTGCTAAACGGGGACCCTCTTTCATGCTATCCTCCCTACATAGAGAAGCTTACCAGAAGTGTATACCACAGCACTATACAGAGTGCATAGATTGGTCTAATCAGTCATTGCACATACTAGGGCCAGTTTTATTGAAAGCCAGCTAACCTACTTCTGTCTTTTTCCACATATTATATAGAGACAAGTGTTTATGCAACTTTTATATGATAAACTTAAATAACTGTTTGTTTTCTATTTTTAGTTTTTCTTCGACTTGTTCGCCAACCAGAAAACACAGCCTGCTCAGCTTCACTATGTGGATATGTTGTTATACTTTGCCTCCCATCCAGATCCCACAGAAGGATTCTATAGAGCACTCAGTGTAGTTATTGGAAAGCCAATAGTCATTAATACAGTTGACAACTCGCTTGTAAAGGTAGAGAGCACATAATCTTTCTAAGTTCTTATTACACTTCTTCTAACGAATAGCTTGTTTCTATGTTAGAATATGTTTATTCTGTAGAGATTGTAAACTGGATTTCACACCATAATTTAAAGTTCACCTTTAATAGAAACTGTCCCATGCAGACAAGGGGCCGCTGTAGTTTAAATTGCATCGTGCTGTTTGTAAAAATTAAGTTAGATGGAAATGCTGAACCTGTAGGCCATTTCTGCTCCAATGCAGCCTGGGTAATATGTTGTCATCCTTACATCCTGGCTTAAGCTGAGTATACACTGAGTGAATTTTAGCCAGTTCTTGATAACCCAGCCAAATGTACTCAGTGGATGGCTCTGTTTGCCAGCTTCTGCCTGACTTCCTTTGATCGGAAAGATCCAGCAGGGCCGACTGTCAAAATTCAGTAGTCACAGTGGAGTTTCCTCCATCTACAGTGTTTAACAAGGATGGCGAAATCCATCAGATTTTTTCAGCCCAAAAGCTAAAGAAAAAAAATCTGCAAATGTAAACCCAGCCTTATTTCCTTCCTGCCCCCGGCTATATCTCGAACCTTGTCTCAAAGTATCACCCTAACCGTCCCCTCCGCTCTTCGATAGAGATCCTCCTTCTTTCCAGCGCCCTCGTTACCTCCTCCCATGCTTGCCTCCGGGAATTCTCTAGAGTCTCTCCCATCCTCTGGAACTCTTTACCACAACCTGTCTGACTATCTCCCACTCTGACTAGGCTATCCCTTAAGACTCATCTCTTCAGGGAAGCCTATCCCACCTCAACCTAACCACTCAACCATCACGTTCTCAAACAATTCATCCCCACACAGCTACCTCCTCATGTATCCTCCCTTTTAGATTGGAAGCCCTCACGGGCAGGGCCCTCCTTACCATCTTGTCTTGAATTATATTGTATATTGTAAACCGCTGCGCAAACTGTTGGCGCTATATAAATCCTGTATAATAATAATTTCCAGGAAACAGCAGCAATTAGCTCTCAAATGAAATGCATGCTGTACATGTCTGTGGTCAATCCTAATAGCCTACACAACACATCAGGTGCTAACTACTGTATATGCTAACAGGATAAATTCTAAATTAAGCCCGTGCACAATGCTATACACTCTTACATATTTCTATCAAACCTTTGCATAAAAACAGGAATGTTTGGTTCACATAATGTATATTGCAATACATGTTCAAGCTGATCAACTGCGTCAAGGTAATCCCTCTCTGTCCGGTCCCTACTACTGTGCTAAATGGCAACTATCTGTATCAGTAATTTTATCTATTAGCTATTTCCTATAAATATACATGTATATTTTGAGCATTAGATTCATGTATGTTTTTTTAATCTCCAGTCTGTCCCAAATATGGGTATTTTTGAAGACGGTAATGGAATTATAAGTAATGAGGAGGACTTGCTGAAGAACACAGAGGAGGTCACTGTCACAGTGCAGGAAGTCCTGCAGGTGTTGGAGCATGGAAATGTATATGATGGGGAGAGCCATAGATTCCACTCACGTGAAAAACAAACAAGTAGTTATTACACGGTTAGTAAAATCATTGGGCTTTATAGGTAAACTGCTGCCAGTATCTTTAGTTAAGTACTTTAAATCTCAACTCCAGCAAAGGAGAACAAGCCAGTGTTTAAATCATGAAACCCTGGCTGCTGTGCTCACATCCTCTCCTATGGGGACAGTGACTTATACTCACAGTGTGATGATGCCGTGCATGTCAATGTGAATAAGGTCACTGCATCATTGAGGACCATCAACTGCCAGGAGAATTTCTGAAGGGGAGCAGGATCCTTACTGAACACATTGGAAAACGCTAAGTATATAAAACAATTCAGGTATATAAAACAAATAACAGTGGAGGGGGTTGAACCCTGAGTTGGGCTTTGATGAGAATCAATCATAGTTGGGCTTATGCAGTTTGAATATCCAGTTGATAATTGCTGTAGCTGTGCAGGCTTACTTACAAGATAAAATATTTAAATATTGCCCCTATAGTTAGATTTATCTTGCCAGAGAGATAGCTCAAGGACCGAGAATTAGAGGTGAAGGTGCATAACAATATTAACCCCTTCGTGACTGACGACGTACAGTGTACGTCGCCAGCATCGGGGCTGTTTAAACAGACTCCCGCCGGGAGAGACTTTTGCCGCCGGGAGGCTGTTGAAACTTGTAAAGCCGACTAAAATGAAGTGCGATATGCACTTCAATAGCTCATTTCTAGTGTAAAGGTGACACTGGGGGTCTTTTGACCCCCCCAGCATCACCTTAAAGAGTACCTGTCACCCCCATGTGATAGCAGTCAAAGTAAAGTAAAACAAAAAACAGTTTTTAAAATTAAAATGAAATAAAATAAATCTAATAATAATCAAAAAAATTTTTAAAAGTCCCCCGCCCCCGCTAACACGCGCATCGCCACGTAAACACGCGTCGGGTGCGCCTACGTATGAAAACAACGAATGCGCTACACATGTTGGATATTGCCGCGCACGCCGGAGTGAGAGCAATAATTCTAGGGCCAGTATTTTGGGGTATCTCTAAAATGATGACCTGTGGGGGCTTTTAAAGCGTCTTCTGTGGACTTTGTGGGGTACTGCAGTTTTTCGCCGTTTCGTAAATAACAGAGGCATGTAGCTGTTTACATTAATCCTAACTCCATCTATTTGATCCTGCTGTGCACACTCAGAAACTTGGAAACAGCTGTGCATTGAAAATCAGCATATAATCAATTACTAGACATGTGCGATTCGTTTCGTTCCGAATTTCCATTTCCGAAATTCGGTAGCGGTAGTTCGAACGTTCGTTTCGTTTTCTGGTCTTATTCGTTTCTTATTCGTTTCGTTCGTTGGAGCAAAGTGACATTAGAGAAGGAGAAAAATATTTTTTCCCCCTCAAATGTCACTTTTGCTGCAAACGAACGAAACGAATAAGAAACGAATAAGAACAGAAAACGAAACGAACGTTCGTACTAACGCTTCCGAATTTCATCCGAATTCCGAATCCGAATTGACTTTCACACCCGAATCCTGAAAAACGAAATAACACATATCCGAATTTAAAACGAAACGAAACTAAACGAATTTTTTGGCAGTGCACATGTCTATCAATTACTAGACAGATCAGTAGTAATCATACAACTACAGCTAAATAAGGAGGCAAATTGAAATGTTTGCAAGTAAGGCTGCATGGATTGAACCATTTAAAATTGAAATTTCTGGATGCAAACCAAATACAGCCCCCAACCTCCCTCCCTTGCTTGCAGTCGGGATCCCAGATAGAGTTTTTAAAATGACTTGTTTCTTGCAAAAGCAAAAAAAAACTTTCTTTGCTTTTGTGATGTCATCACAGGGCTCCATAAAATTCTTGCAGGAACCGCAGCCAGAAGGAGGAATCTGCCATATGCTCTACGCCCAGCCCCTAGGCAACTATGACCTGCAGACTGCCAATTTGTGGAGCAGGGAGAGGCAGGGATAGGTAGAGCTGGGCTGTAACAAGGAAACAATACTCCAAAGGATATCACAAGTTGGCAAAATAAAACCCTGAAACTTCTTCATTATTTTTTAAAGGGCAGGTAATTGCACAATCTTAATTAAAAGAGACTGTAATTACTTGTCAATGTTCACTAAGCGAGCCAAAGAAGATAAGCCCTTCCAATCATTGTATCGGTGTATGTGTCACTGGTCTCAGCATCATTAATTCATTTGTTCTTCTCTACAGAGTATCCAGCACATATTCAGTGAAATAAATCCGGATGGTGATGGTGCAGTGCCTGTTACCTCTCTTCTCAAACACCCTGCTTTTTGTGATATTGTTGAAAGCTGTAAACACTATAAATTTTCGGTAAGTAAATATATAGGATATTCATTTGACCTTGTTTCCACTCACAGCTTACAGGAGAACTATGAGGTGAGTGATTTTCACGCATCCCCATAGTTAGAGCCGACCTGTGACAAAGAAGCAGTCACAGGTCGGCTCTATCGATCGGGAAGTCAGCAGAAACATGCCGCCAATCCGCTCACTTCCCGATCATCTTCCTGCAGTTAACGGTGACGGTCAGTCACTGCTCCCCGCAGGGATTCCCCCCTCCCCTCTCCGATCCTCCAGCGATGAGTGGAGGAATGAACAGAACTAGATAGGCAGAGCCCGCTGTCACTCACGCAGCTGGGTGGATCTCAACAGTATTGTCGTGATCCATCCCAGCTGTGGCACTCTCAGTATATTGCGGGCAATAGCCCACGATATACTGAGCTTTGGGTCACGGGAGGAGGTTAGTATATGTCCTCCCGTGACCCTTAAGAGAACTATGGGGAAAAACACTTACCCCATAGTTCTCTTTTAAACAGTTTAATTGTGATGATATTCTTTGGACTTTTATATCTGCTGGAACACCAGATTAATGCCTGATCTCCACAAATTAATGCAGTTCTGTATTCATTAACACATCATTAAATGTATTTTCTTAATTGCATTAAATAGAAACCAATTTCCCAAATGTTTGTCTTTATTGTGTTGCAGGACATCCAGATCATACTACAAAAATCCAAAGTAACACACTCCAGTGAAGGAGACACCGTGACTTCCAGCGTCACTGGAGTATAATACACACATATTCTGCAAGAATTCTGCCAGCAACAATATATGTTACTACTGGAAAGGATTTTCACAATTGTATTTGTGCCTGACAATTAATTTGAAATGTTTAAGTGTATCAGATCAGCTCCTTACCTAAGCCAAAGCGCCTACCCTGTGTTGAGCTGCCATTATCTGGTTCTTGCCAGCAGTGCTAGCCTTGGGGCAGTAATATGCAGGTGTTTGGAGAACTGGCCCTGGTACTGCCCTGGTCTTTAATTAAAAATATTTGCAAAATTCAGCATGGATTACTATTAACTGTTACTGAGTTTTCTTTGGTGACACAACTGAAGTCCAGGCATTCTCCACAGATCACCTATCTAATCATATGCATATTCAAGCAAATCACCACCATTGCCCGGGAAATTAGTATGCATCTAGATAAATCAAATGAATCCGCGTTCTTATCCACACAATTAATACCCCCACAAATTCAGCAGCAGTGACAAAGTGTATAAAAATGTTAAAACCTTTACCCAAAATACTCCAAAATTAATTACACCGCGCTTACTGTCATCAGAAAAATAAAATCACACATATATACATAAGAACCAAGTGTCTAAGTGATAATTAACTCCTCAACCCCACACGCTCAAGGTCCACGCCTCATAAACAGACCACATCACATACAAAATTCGTAAACATATTTATATATGAAACACAAAATGTCCAGTGTATTGAATAATTATATCATTCACTATGTCCCACTGTAAAAGTTCTGCCTGCTCCCAGGGGCGTCCTGAGGGTGGGTGTCACCCGGAGCGGAGACTGGGTGACACCCCGCCGTGAGGTCATCGCGCATTCGCATGACATTGCTGCGTGAATGCGCGATGACGTAATTGCGCATGCGAGGTCGTCTTATGGACGCCGGCAGAAAGAGGAGGGGACGTTCACCTGGCGGGATGAAGTATGCCGCCGGGTACCCTCCTCTCTCCTGACACTGTCAGGCTCTCGGTCCATGACAGAGTGCTCGACTTTTCATAGGGGGGTGACACCAAAATGACTGTCAGTCATTTTGGTATCACCCCCTCCAATGGTGGCACCCCCTTGTGACGTCACTGCCTGCTGCTGGGTAACACTGGGTCCCAATGCAGTCAGTAAGCCAATAAACGTATAGAGGCTGGAGTCTAAAAGTCCTCAGCAGGGAAGTTTATTGTACTCAGTTAGTGACAACTTTTTCACAAACAGCACTGAGTCTTCTTAAGCCAGCTAGTAACAAAAAAACATAAACAAAAAGCCTATCTCTGTCAGAGATCTACCTAAACATAGAAAACAGTTTCACACTCACTAAATAAAGGTGCCAAGCTAAGCTTTTAAACACCTGCCAAACAAACATAACATTTTCTCATGTCTCAGTTTACCTCTAGTGCAGCAGCCTGGGAGGTCTGTGTTTCACAGTCTCTATCTCGCTCTCCAGTGACCTGTTAGCTGCATCTCCTTTTCAAACCTTCTGTCCACACCCTGTTTAGGTGAGTTACCCATTTTGTAACTGACTGCCTGTTTCAACCTATTGCTAACATAGTAGCCAGCAATGACCTCACCCCATGGCCAGTACAATCTGTCACACCCACTCATGATTAAATCCATAAAACAGTGTTCCACATAAAGACCATGTGCATTCGGTGAATGTCCCTTTGTTCCAGCGAGCTATGTGTAAACATTGAGGGCTAGTTCACACCATAAACAGCGCATCCTGGCCGGCTTCCTGCATTAGGTTATGGTGGTGCAGTGAAGACAATGGCACTGCAGCCCCGCCCCCAGTGCGATCGCCCGCACCACAACGCATAGCAGATCAGTGCCTGTGTTCTGGTTCAGTGCGATCTGCAAAAATGCTGCAAGCAATATTTTTGCAGATTGCACTGAACCGGAACGCAGAATTGAGGTACTGGAGTTGCCTTCTGGATAGCCTAGATTCCAAAATGTCCTCCACTTCATACTTCTCTTCTGTATAAATGCAGACAGAACCTAAAGGTGTGGAAGTGTAGGAGAACCACTTAAGTACTACATGTTTTAACAGGGAAAGATTAAATGAACTGTAAACATGGAGAAATAGAGGTAATTTAGGTTTATAGGTGACTGGGTTAATCTGGACCAATAATGCAAGGTGTGAACTTAGGAGAAAGCACCTTACACTTTTATCAGACCATTTC